AGGAGGGGCCTGTCCTGTCCCTAATGCTCCATAGACCCTTCACAGTGCTGCCCACCAGGCTGCAGATGTGCCTGCCTCCCTGAATGAGTGGATAACTTGGGTTCTAAGATGCCTGGGCTTACGCTGATGGGGCTTTCCCATCCTGCTGTAGAGCGTGTGTAATGTGGGACGTGGGACAGGCAACTAAGGACACAACAGAGGTAACTGATGTCTTGCTGAGGATTTTCCCAAGTGTTCACTGGGTGGACCCTGATCAAACTAGCACTTTTACTTATTTTATTTTAGATTTATTTTTATTTATTTATGCATACCAGAACTGAGGTGTAAGCCAGAGGTGCTGGGGCAAGGCGGGGAGAGAGGAGAGAATTCAACAGAAACAGAGTGGGGAGCAGATCTGCTGAAATACACTGCTGAGGGCAGCTGTGGGAGAGAGAGAGGAGAGGTCTGCTGTGCCATGTGGGTAGCTCCCTGGCTGGGGATCAAATTCATTTTGTCAGTGGCTGCAGATAGCTTGATAGCGCTGAGACTTTAACCCCTGGCTACCAGGGAGGCCCCAAACTACCCCTTTTAAAGATAATAATTTTCCCAGTGGATAGTGGACTCGATAGTACACTCACACGTGACCTGAGCAGCATTTTGTATGTCTCAAGGGTTAGGTTGAAAGAGGGAGGTGACGTGAGAACACTGGAGGTGGATGAGATGTATTTGTAAGAGGAGAGAAAGGTCCTGGCAGGAAAGTGACTTGGGACAGCCCAGGAGACCCTCCTGGCAACCAGGTCACCGTACTGAAGTGTTACAGCCTGCTGTCTCCTGCCACCGACAGGCATTGCATTGAGGTGTGGGAGGCCTGGTGGCACAACACTAAGGGCCTGGGAGCATAGGACTCAGCAACTTTGGGCCTCTGCTACTACCCTTTTTTCTGTGGTCAGGAACAATGGAAGGATATTCTCTATTACCTTTCATTTAGTTCAGTATTAGAGGTTTTGGTTAGAACAGTCACAAACAGGAAATAAAAGGAATCCAGGTAGGAACAAGAAGAAGTGAAACTATCATTACTTGCAAACAATTCAATATATAGAAAACCCCAAATATATAGAAACACCGAAAACTGTTAGAAACAGTAAATGAATACAGCAGTGTGGCAATTTACAAAATCAACATGCAAAAATCAGTTGTATTTTTACATACAAATAATGAATGAAAAGAAATAGAAATTAAGAAAACAATTCTATTCACTATTGTTTCAAAAAGAATCAAATACCTAGGAATTAATTTAACAAGGGAGGTGAATGACTTATACAATGAAATCTATAAGATAATATTAAAGGACTTGGATCATGACATAAGGGAAGACATTTAATGCTCATGGATGGGGAGAATCATTACTGTCAAAATGACTATTCTACCAAAAGTGATATATAAATTTATCACAGTTCCCATCAGAACACCAAAAATATTCTTCAAAAAATTGAACAAGAAATATGAAAATATGAAATATTTAATGAAAATGTTAACATTTATATAAACCATAGGAGGCCTTGAATAGCAAAAAGCAATCTTGAGAAAAAAGAAGGAAACCAAGGCATCCTGTTACCTGAATTTAAATTATTCTCTAAAGCAACAGTAATGAAAACAATATGGATAAACATGTTTAATAAATAACCCCCCAATGAACGAATGGGAAGATGGGTTTTCCAAAGAGAGAGCAAAGATGAGTGGTAAACACACACACAAACAAACAAACAAGAAAGAAACTATCAGAAAAAGACAGATAATAAGTAAGCAGTAGAAATCTACACAGAAAAAAGAAAGAAAAAAATATTCCTCTAGTTTTTCCTAGACGAGAGCTAATAAGAAACAGCAACAGATCTCCAGATCTATGAAAAGACTGCTTGTTTCAGAAAAGCAAGTGATTTTTACACCCTAATTTCTTCCTCATCAACTTCTTTATTTACAGCAAGAAACAAGGCTATTTTTAAAATTTCTCTTCTTTTGGGGGTAAGATTTATTTATTTATGCATACAAGCACTGGAGTACAGACCAGAGATGGAAGGGGTGAGAGGATATACCAGAGATAGAGTGGGGAACAAAACAGGCAGACTGAAATACACTGCTGAGGGGAGCAGCGGGCGAGACTGGAGAGGTCTGCCTCGCCATGTGGGTTGCTCCCTGGCCTGCAGGGGATCAAACTCATGCTGCAGAGGCAGCAGAATGCCCCATAGTGCTGCACTCAACCCCTTGCACCATCAGGGAGGCCCCTAAAATTTCTCTTCTGTATTCCCATTATGATCTGAGTATACATAGTATCTGTTAAATTGAAAACAGAAATAAAGTCTGCAAGGAAGGAGAATCCTAAAAGAAAATAGACTGGACAAACAAATAAATGGAAAAATTGTAGATCCGTTTCAGCCTTATCAGTAATTACATAAATTCTAAATCCACTGACCAGAATGGTCAGAAATGAAGAAGCAGATCCCAACTATATATTGTATTGAAAGATGCAACTTGAAAGTTGACAGTGAGAGCTATACTGAAGATAAATAAATTTATGGGAAAAGATACAAATTCAAATAATAGTCTAAGAAAACTGCCGATACTCTTTTTATTTAATTGATTTGTGTTGCTTTAAAACACTACATAAGTTTCAGGAGAATAGTTTCACACCCCCAAAAATGAATATACCACACTGCACCCACTGCCAACATTCTAGCACCATTTACCACCCCTGTTTTATTAATACTTTATACTGATACTTTGTTTCTCCTTTTTATTCACTATTAGTCTAGTTAAGGGTTATTGATTGTCTTAATACTTTTAGAGGACCAACCTTTGATCCTCTTCTTTCTATTATTTGTATTCTATTTCATTCATTTCTCCTTGTTACTTCATTTGGTTTAAATTTATACTTACATTTTATGGTTCTTTAATGTGGACATTCAGGTCACTAAATTTATATATATATATATTTAATAGCTTTAGTGAGGTACAATTCACATAATAAATCATCATAAAAATTCATATAACTCACCCATTTTAATTGCACATTTCAGCCCCTTTTAATATATTCTTAGAATCATGCAGTCATCACTATAATAATTTTAGAACATTTTTATTACCCCTAAATGAAATGTCAAGTCATATCATCTAACAGCCCTCCATTTCTCCTACCTCCCTAGTCTTTTAATATAAGCATTAAAACCTACACATTTTACTCTAAGTCCTGTGTCCCACATATTTTAATGAGTTTTACTAAATAGATTAATGAATTAATGTTTACAGTGACCACATTAATGGGTATGAGGTGGATCTCAGTATGGTCTTTATATTTTCCTAATGTTTAGGGCTGGTGAGCATGTTTTAATTCTTTGGAAGAAATGTTTATTCAAATCATTTGCCCAATTTTTAAAAAATTGGCTTGTTTTATTGGTCTGCTACTGTTTTTTTTTTTTTTTTTATAGAGGCATGTTTTTATTTATTTATTATTTATTTGTTTGTTTGTTTTCGTTTATACATGCACTGGGTACAGTCAGAAGCGCGGGAGGGTGAGAGAATTCACCAGAGCCAGAGCGGGGAGCAGAGCAGGCAGAAGGACCGAAGCACACTGCTGAGGGGAGCAGCGGGCGGCAGGAGAGGTCTGCTCGCCATGTGGGACCCTCCTCTGGTGGCTGGGGAGCAGCCGGGGATCGAACCGGCGCCGCAGAGGCCGCGGGCAGCTTCGCAACCCAGCGCTCAACCGCTGCGCCACCGGGGAGGCCCTGGTCTGCTACTGTTGTTATAGGAATTCTTTATATAGTCTGGACATTAATCCCTTATCAGATATACAACATGCGAATAACCTGTTGATTATGTTCTTTGATGCACAGATGTATTTAATTTTTATATGAGCTAATTTGCCCATGTTTTCATAGGTTGCATGTACTTTTGGTATCATATTAAAAAATCATTGCTAAATCCAAGATCAGGAAGAATTACCCTTTGTTTTCTAAGAGTTTTATAGTGTTCACTGTGAGGTTTAGAGCTTTGTTCCATTTTGAGTTAATTTTTGTGCATGGTGTCAGGTGAGAGTCCAAGTTTGTTTTTTGTGTGTGCATGTGTGAACATATGGATATTCAATTTTCCCAAGACTGCTTAATGAAAAGATCGACCTTTCCCAATTAAATGGATTTGGTACTCTTTGTCAAAAAATTTTTTTGACAAAAAAAAAAATACAGGCCAGAGGCACTGGAGGGTGAGAAGGTTCACCAGAGACAGAGTGGGGAGCAGAACAGGCAGACGGACCGAAAGCACTGCTGACAGGAGCAGCGGGCACGACAGGAGAAGTCTGCTGTGCCATGTGGGAATCTCCCTGGCCAGCCGGGAATCGAACACGCCCTGCAGAGACTGCGGACAGCGTCGCGGACAGCTTCACAGCTGTGCTCAACCCGCTGCGCCACTGGGGAGCCCTGTCAAAAATTATTTGTCCATATATACAGCCATTTATCCTGAGCTGTCTGTGCAATTCCATTGGTCTACATGTCTCAGGCAACTTTTTAAAATAGAAGCTCATATTTAATGCTTGATCCTATATCTTGATATTCTTAAGTTTATTCTTAAGTGTACATATTATATAACCCCCATTCATAAAAACATCTGTGTGTGTGTGTGTGTGTGTGTGTATAAGAAAAAGTCAGTGAGTATTCACACATGTGGTAAAATTGTGGAACTATCTGATAAACTGTCTATGAAAGGGATCACATGTGCTTTTTGTATTCTTACAAAACTATTTGCTCATATTTTCTGGAATAAACGTGTTTTCTGTTAAAGTAGGAGAAAAGGATAAAGAAGAGTATTTCAAGTGTATGTTACTTAGCTAACCCCAAATCATGAAGGGGTAAGCATAAATACAAAAGAATATTTAAGAGTTTAGAGCTGGAATTGGATTTGTGTTTTAGCTACTGGGGTGGGGGAAACATAGATGAGTCTGGAAGCCACTCATGCCCATCCTTGCTTTGTCCCCACAGGTCTCGTCTTCCTCGCCTGTGAACATTAGGAATGACAGAGTTCATGAGCAGTCATCTCCCTGGCAGGGACAGAAGTACACTCCCCAAAAGATTCGGTGCTTAGCAGGTATTTTCTAAGACTGATCTCCAGCCCTTACCCCACCTTGTCTTCATGTCCTTCCAGCCTCTGACTCCTGCAGATGCTGGCTCTTCATGTACAGGCATTTTCTGGATGCCTCTGTGTGTCCAGTATTGTGCTGATGGAAGGCACAAGGCTGAGGCCCTCATGGGGCTCTCCTGGGGTGATGTGCACACAGAGGGATGAAGGTGACAGTCAGAGAAGCATAGGAGAATACCTGAAGGAGAATGGGGAGATGGGTGGGACAGAGCTGGAGTGGTGTGGCCTCCCAAACCTGGTGACTTTCATGCAGAGTCCCTTTCGTTGGTGCAGGGAGAGTGCTCCTGAGAATACTCCCAAGGGAAGGGGGCAGGGCTTGCTTGAGCAAAAAATTAGGAGGCAGCTGGGTGAGTGGCGCATAAAGAGGTCACAGGACAGATGGAGCAGATCACACACCCCAGAAGTGGTGAATGTATCTTACATGCGTCTTACGTGGTGAATGTGGGACCTCCCTGAGAAATTTTAGGCAGAGGAGGGAGCGATCGGATTTGTATTTTATTTTATTTATTTATTTATTTTTTGTGGGACCCTCGCCGGTGGCCAGGGATCGAACTGGCGCCGCATAGGCTGCGGGCAGCCTCGTAACCCAGCGCTCAACCGCTGCGCCACCAGGGGAGGCCCTGATTTGTATTTTAATTGTCCACAATTGGACTGAAAGGGGGCAAGGCTTGAAGCATACCCAGCACATGTCTGAAGCACACGCCTCATGTTCTGTCTGGTGGAGTGTCGTGTGCCATGTGGTTCTCTACCACCCACAAAGGCAGCGGGATCCACACCGAAGTGATGGGATTTTTATCTCACACATTTACTTCTTTCCCAGCTGGGGTTCAGTTAGGAATTAATCTTCTCCTGCACAAGGACATCCCAGTACTCTCTTGAATTTATTGATTAAAAAACATTATTAAAATGAATTTGACCTCTTTCCTTCTACTCTTTTAATGTGGCTCCGATATTTGAATTTCATGTTGCCATGTAGTTTGTTTTTTTTTTTAAAGATTTATTTATTTATTTATTTATTTAGACAAGCACTGGGTACAGTCAGAAGCGCGGGGAGGGTGAGAGAATTCACCAGAGCCAGAGCGGGGAGCAGAGCAGACAGAAGGACCGAAGTACACTGCTGAGGGGAGCAGCGGGCGGCAGGAGAGGTCTGCGCGCCATGTGGGACCCTCCTCCGGTGGCCGGGGAGCAGCCGGGGATTGAACCGGCACTGCAGAGGCTGCAGGCAGCTTTGCAACCCAGCGCTCAACCGCTGCGCCACCGGGGAGGCCCCCATGTAGTATTTTTTATTTCAATTTCAGTCAAGTGCTTATAGGACATACAGAACTGATGAAGTGGCCAGGGCTAGTTTCAGTGTGTTTCCCAATTTGCATCCTACTGTTGACTGAAGAGGAATCCCCGAGCACCACTGCCAGTCACTGAGAATCCCACAGATTCATTCACCAGGTTTTCTTTTTCCTCCTAGGGTTCCATTTGTCAGAAGACAGTAAAAGTTGTGTACCATGTACAAGAGGACAGGACTACACAGAGCACTTGAACACAGAGCAGTCCTGCATACCATGCACAGTGTGCCGCTCAGGTACAGACATGGGGCACCCAAGCCAAGTGCAGGGGTGATGAGTGGGACTGTATCCAATAGGACACATCCAGGAAACCTGGATTCTAGTCTTACATTGACCCACATCATACTCTGTGTCGTGCTTACGTCTTAGGTCAATAAAATTAATTAGAACTTTTATTTTTTTTAAAGATTTATTTATTTATACAAGGAACGGGGTACAGGCCAGATGCGCAGCGGAGTGAGAGGATTCACCAGAGACAGAGCGGGGAACAGAACAGGCAGACTGACTGAAATACACTGCCGAGGGGAGCAGCGGGCGAGACAGGAGAGGTCTGCCGTGCCATGTGGGTATCTCTCTGGCCGGCCAGGATCGAACCCGCACTGCAGAGGCTGTGGACAGCTCCACAGCGCTGCACTCAACCGCATGTGCCACCAGGGAGGCCCAGAACTTTTATATTTAAAACTTTGGAAATTTTATAAAGTTTGACACAGGGTAGGGAAATCTACTGAATTGTGAGGTGGAAGTGATGGGAATATAACCTGTCCCTTGATGGGGAGGATGTATACCCACGGCAGAGGTATGACCAAGGGAGACCATCCCAAGGGTGAGCTGTGACAGGTCTGGGCCAGGCCCTGTGCTCTGTGCTCCTGGTGGGTGCTCCCCCTCTCTCAGTCTCCCCACCTAAGGACCCTTCACAAATTTTAAAAAGTCGCCCAAGTTTCCTCTCTCCAGGGTCTCTCAGATTATCCCCACCCTTCCTATGACCCTGAGTTGTAAAAGATGTTTCCCCTCTAAACTGATGTGTTAAATAAGGCTCCTTTCCCTGTACTTCTGAAGTGAACAGCATTGCCTCTGTGCACCCTAGGTGTGCTGCTGCAGAAACTGAATCCAAAGCTATGGAGAGCTAAGTGGAGCTGAGGCTGTGGGGGAGGGGGTGTTTGGGTGGCGAAGAGTGGGGAAGGGACTCATGCAGGAAGCCGTCTGCAAAGGTGTATCCTTGGTTTCCAGATCAGAAAGAATTGGCTCCATGCACCACAACCACCAACAGGAAGTGTGAGTGCAAAAATGGTACTTTCAGTGGAGAAAATTCTCCTGAGGCCTGCGAGACCTGCAGCACTAGGTGAGACAACAGGAGTCAAGGGACTCTGATCCACAGAAAACCTGATTTCCCTTGGACCCCTTTCATGCAACCCCCACTCCCCAGGGTCTTCCCTGCGCCTCTTGGGTCTTCTGAGCCTGATCTGGCCCTTCCTCCTCTATCTGCATTTCCCCACACTGCTCCCTCAGTATCCCCTTCTCCACCCCAGCCCCCAGCACATTTCCCCTCACTCAGGTGCATTGGACAGTAGGCCACTACCTCAGCCCATTTTAGACTATTTTAGTGATTCATGAAAGATTTCTTTTGAAAACAGAAGGAAAGAATTGAGTAGAATTTTTTTTGAGCAGCCAGACTTACACTCATCTTTATAATAATTCAATCATAAGATGTAGTTTATGTTTCTAGGCAGCAGTGGCCGATGAAGACAAACTTAACCACAGCCACAGTGTGGAGAGTTTCCCATACCACGAGCCGACACAGCCTGCCTTCTCCCAGGCCCCTATTCCCTCATAAGATGTTCTTTTCCAAGCTATTGGGATCTCGGGGCAAAATTAATTTGTTCTTCTTTGACCCTTCAGTGTGGGTTATGGCAGGACAGTAGAGAGGTGGAGGGAAGAGGTTTCTTGTATTAAAGATTCCTGGAGGGTGAGGCTCAACTTGTGTCCAAACCCTTCTGACCCTTGACCTGGAATGAGTTCCTCCAGGAGCTCCTCCTGCAGCCGGGAAAAGTCAGTGCAGGCCTTCCTTGCAAAGAAGGCCCAGCTCTAGAAGGCTGCAGCTCTGAGCGCAGCAGGAGCCCAGAGGCATGCGCAGACCCCTCCCGCCTCACAAGTGTGTGAGGGGACCAGACCCTGCAACAGAGGCCTGCTCTTCAGCTCTCTTCTCTCTTCCCTGGCACACTGGCTGGGAGGCGACTCCCTCTTGCTCCTCATCTTGCCAGCTTTCACTCACGGATTTCCTCTATGCCCATTTTTTTGTGTCTGTACCTAGGTGCCCCGATGGGATGATTGTGGACGGGCCCTGTACCAGCCAGAGTGACCTCAAGTGTATCAGCCGAGAATCAGGTGCTCGAGATAGTAAAGGAGTGACCCCAGTCCCTGGAGAGCCATTGACCAACTCTGGGTCACCTCCCTTTCCTTCCTCAGGCAATGGACCCTCCACATGGATTGTGGTAGCAGCTGTTCTCGTGGTGGCTATTGTGATCATCTGTATTTTAGTTTTAGTGTATCGTATGTGGTGCAAGACTCACGGTAAGAACCTTACAAAAGGTGTGTGCCTCCTGGGGAGGATCTTACAGGAGGTGCCCAGCGGGAGGTGATTGGGGGTGGGAAGGTGATTTAAGGTGATTGGGGGAGGGAAGGAAGAGGTGCTGGCATTTTGCCACCTCCCTCCCTGCTTAGTTCCCTGACAATAGTGTCCTCCCCTTCATCTGCCAGTCCCCTGTTCTTTCTGGCCTGACTCTGATCCTAGTCCCTGTGATCACCCCCCACCTCCCACCTCACCTTACTCCCAAGGGCAGGGGTCACACATAATGCCCCTGCTCCTGTGGGGGCTGATGGTCACCTCATCTCCCTGGCCAAGTCCCAGGGGGCAGCCAGTTCTTTGGGTCTTGCAGTTCCAGCCAGGGCAGAGAGGCAGTTGGTGCCCGGACTGGTCAGGAGCTGAGGGCCAGGGAGCTTGTACAGCTCTGGTTGGAACAGAACCCCCGGAGATGTTTTGCATGTTTATTTTACTTCACTTGTCCCCTCTTTTCCCTCTCCCCAAGGGTGCCCTAGAGATGGAATGCCCCCCCCAAGCCACACCAAGCCAGGGTTCTTTGTTCAGTGTCTGAGCCTTCAGTCCACACCTGCCCTCAGTCCTATCATCAGAGAGGGAGGTGTGTGGAGAGGGCCCTCCCCACTGCTAAGGTGGATACTTTTTCTCTTCTAGGCACTTCAGTGAACCATAAGTGTCTGAACAAGGTGAGTTATTTCTCCAGGACTGGACAGCATCAGGCCAGGCCTTCAGCCCAGCCCTGGGGGGACACGGTCCCCACTGCTCCATTCTGCCCTGACTCTCCAAAGGGGTCTGGGGCCCTGGGCAGAGCGTCAGAGGACAGCTGACCCATGGTGAGCAGCCCACAGGCCAGTTGGCTGTTCTGAGCACTGTCCCTGCTGCTTGTGAGACAGCCTCACCCCACAGCCCTGCACCCTGGGCATAGGTGAGGTGTGTCAGGCAGGGGCGAGGACCCCCCTCAGCACAGCAACAGGGTCCTAAGGCCAGCAGCAGCGGTATTATAGACCTGCTGGGCCTGTTCCCACCTTGGGAGCCAGGGGGTTGTCAGTCTGGGAGGGAGTGGGGTACACAGGACCAACTGCACCCTCCAAGGCCCTGTGGGGAACCCAGGTGTGGACTTCTGAGGCTGTTATTTTCCTTCTCAAGGTCTTTTTCGGCCGCTTGCACTGGTGTCCTAGAAAAGAGCCTGGGACAGAGGACAATGCCCTCAACAGCATCGTGAGCGACAGGGACTCACTGTCCACCGTGGCCTCTGTGCAGGTACTGGAAGGCCAACAGCAGACAAAGCCGCCAGGTGCTGCTGTACAGACCCCAAGGGAAACGGAGCCTCTGCTGGTGAGTGGGTGGTAGGACCTGTGGCGCCCAGTCCCTGCGCTTGCCCAACTGTGGTAGAAACCAGGAAAGGCTCCAGAGGGGAGTGGTGAGGGAGGAAGAGCTTGACGGGGAAGTGGGAGGGGCTGCTTGTGCAGGAAGCTGGCCACCGTCAGAGGACAGACAAACAACTCATGGCACTTTCCGCTTTTTGTATCTGTCTAGTTCTTGAATTGATTTTCTTGGGAAGGCCTCCAGGATTTTACCACTGGGAATGATGATGACTCTTGTATAGAAAATCTTGCCATTCTAGAATCATGTGCCTGTACTAAGGTGTTTCTGATATTTCAGAATTGGTGTTTCATTTTATAAAATGTTCTTTCAGCCCCATGGAGACCATCTGATGCTTTCATTTCCTTATATGGAATATTGATAGGGTACTTTATTGTTGATCAAAGAACCTTTGCATTCACTGAAAAAATCTTTTACTTTAGATTTTTCCAAGGTGCCCTCGTAGTGTCTTCATTTGAGTCCTATAAAAGGCTGGGAGGCAGTTTCTGTCCCTTGGTGGGGTGGGTGGGAATGGACCAGAAGGAAGTGTGTGGGGTGGTGGGAATGTTCTTTGCCTTGACTGGGTGACGGTTGCTTGGGCCTCTATAGCTGTCGGGTGGGTAGTGGGGAGGGGAACAGATACATAAGAAGTGAGTTTCTGTGGGAACCCGTTCCCTGTGCGCTCAGCACACACAGCCTGAGCTGCCAGGGGCAGGAGGCTCATCTCTGCAGAACCTGAGGGCAGCTGCTGCCCCAGGCCACAGCTGCCGTTGTCAGGCTCTTGTCTGGAATCCAGGACCCCTAACTCAGACCATGGGCATTCCCCATTGTATTTGACAGCCATCAACGGAAACTAAAAAATCTCAGAAGAAAAGTAGGCGCCTGGTTCCTGTGAATGTTGAAGAAGCTACTAAAAGTGAGTGCTTTGTTGGGGGCAGTGGAGCTGGAGTTGGGGGAAGAGAGTCCCTGTCCTAACTGCCATCCCCATAGCTGTTAGGGCAGTCCAGGGGATGCTGGAAGTCGGGGGTCCGTGCTGGTTGTCACTGGAATGTGGGGGCCTAAGTCCACCTGTATTTCCCTCCACCCCCACTGCACCCCCTCCCTTCCCATCCCTACGACGTTCGGCACCTCCCTGTCCTTCCTCTCCTCCCATGCTCAGGACCAGGTCACCTGCGGTCATTGCCTCCTGACAGCCTGTGCTGTCCAGCAGGGCACCCACAGGCCCTCACAGAAGAGACTGCATGGCACTTGACCTCTGGCTAGGCCAAATTCAAAGAACTGTAGTGTTAACTCCATACTGACTCTCAAAGGATTAGTACAAAAAGGATGTAAAATGTTCATCCATAATTTTTGTGTATTTATCATGTTGAAATAATACATTAAATACACTGAGCTGGGCCTCCCCAGTGGCGCAGCGGTTGAGCGCTGGGTTGTGAAGCTGCACGCAGCCTCTGCAGCGCTGGTTCAATCCCCAGCTGCTCCCCAGCCACCGGAGGAGGGTCCCACATGGCGCGCAGACCTCTCCTGCCGCCCGCTGCTCCCCTCAGCAGTGTACTTCGGTCCCTCTGCCTGCTCTGCTCCCTGCTCTGGCTCTGGTGAATTCTCTCACCCTCCCGCGCTTCTGACTGTACCCAGTGCTTGTATAAATAAATAAAAATAAATAAATCTTTAAAAAAATAAAATAAATCCATTTAAAAAAAAATACACTGAGCTAGTCCCATGTTATTAAAATTAATAACACTTCCTCTTATTTTTATAAATGAAATTATTACAAAATATGAATTAACATTCCTGGACTACCTTATGTCTCTGTTGGTCACTGCAGAGTGTTCCACACACATCTCATTTATTCCTCCTCTTAGTCCCATGGACTGTCTGCCCTGTCGTACAGGTTACATTCTTGCTCAGCATCTGTCTGTCTGTCTGTCCCCATCCAACTCTGCCATAGAGTCAGTGAGTGAGGCTGAGCTGGGTGTGATGCCAGGAGGCCTTGCTCCCGCCAGGCCCTGACTCTGGTCACAGTACACAGGGCAGCTCTGGGCCCTTCCCCTTGTGATAGGTGCAGCCTGAGCAGTCTCTCCTCTGAGGGCCTGTGGTACCCACAGTGCCTCCTGCACTCTGTCCCCTGCCCCCGTCCTGCATTACTTAAGGATGGGCGTTGCTCAAAGACACATTCTGAGAAATATGTCTTTAGGAGATGCATTGCTTTGCGAACATTACAGAGCTGTCACACCAACCTAGGGGACATGGCCACCGCACACTAGGCTGGATGGGCCACTGTCCCGTGGGTGGTCTGTCAGTGACCAAACCCTCACTGAGCAATGCAGGGCTGCGCTGCTTTGTCTCTCCCAGGCGGGTTACCAGCCTTCCCTTAGGGCAGGGTTTTCTATTGACCTTGACTCCCACAGTCCCTGGACGCAGGTGAAACCTAGGCCCTGTGACCAGTTCTCTGCCTGTGGGAAGCAGTGAGGGAGGCAGAACAGGAGGCTTACCTCAGGGAATGCGCTTTAGGTTCCTTCTGCAGGTCTGGGCCTGACAGGTCCTCTGCTCTTTCTGAAGTAGGCCCGGCTCACCTGGCTGTCTTTGTGGCTTTCCTCCCACCCAGGCCTGAGGCAGTCCTTTGATTCCTTTTCAAGGGAAGTCCCCATGACATCCTGGAACCAGCTTATGAGGAAGGTGGGTCTCATGGAAAATGAGATCCAACAGGCTAGAAGTCGAGCCGTAGACCCAGGGGAAGCCCTGTATTGTATGCTGCTGCAGTGGCACAGCATACAGGGGCGGGAAGCCTCAGTGAACACCCTGCTGGATGCCTTGGAAGAGATCAAGGAAAGACATGCCAAAGAGGAGATTGAGAAGGAGCTGGTGAGCTCCGGAATGTACACCTACGAAGATGAGGACTCCGCTCTGTCCTGAGTGTACGGGACTTGCTTTAGGAAACCAGAGCTTCCCTGGACACTAGCTTGAAAGAAACAGCAAATACTTGATCAAAACTTGAAGAAGCTCTGGAATTTTCCAGAATTTTTTTCAAATCAATTGGAACTATTTTTATTTTTATGAAATGTTTACTGTGACGAAACTGGAAGATATTTCAGATTCCGTGTGGATTATAGTTAGGTGTTTGAATAGTACTAAGAGTTATTTTAGGATGTCATTCTTTTATGTTTATAGCATTTTTTTCATCCTAATAGAACTGCACTTTTTACTTCTACATGTTTTATTGTAAAACATATTTTATTCTCTTTATGTTAGTATTGTCCATTTTTATTTCTATTACTTAGTGTTACTTTATATACTTCTTTTTCATATTTTTATCTATTTATATAAATACTGAAAAACAGTTTTTTAAATGCACTTACCAACTGGATTGCATTGATTGCTTATATTTCTATGACCATAAAATATATAGAAATATAAGGCGGGGGGGGGGTTGGGTGGCTCACCTGTGTGTTGTTGCCCTGGTCCATTCTAGTTCCCCATCATGCAGTTTGAGCTTGTGACTGGCAATTTCTTATGGGCCCAGTCTTTTCAACGTGATAACTGTAGATGTGCATAAATATTTATATTATTTATAGGAAATGTTTACAAGTGAGCAGAAAGTGAAAAGGGATGCCTACACAAATCCCTTCCAGTGGGGGTAGAGGGGTAGGTCATGTGCCGTTTCAGGTCTTGGTAGTGAACCTTTAGGATGGACTCCCCATGTCTGCCACAGCCTTAAAACAGGAGCCTCAGAGCCCAGTGCAAGCCATAGAGCATGGTGGCTTGGTTGCCACACCCCACTCCTTAGCCTGCCCCAGGTGAGCTAGTCCTGGGACTCTGGTGACAAAACTTGCCCCCGCCCAGTGCTCCCCACAGTGGGAGGTTCATGGGTTGTGTGCTCCAGCAGCCATTGTGAATTGGATCCTGGTGCACTGCTTACTGGTGTGCTACCAGCTCCAGACTCTCATCGAATGGACAGTGCCATATTGCATGAGCGGTATCCAGTTGTAGACTACTAGACTCTATCTGGGGTGGGACAGCCAGCCATTTGTGGCCTTAAAAACTCCTTTTTTCAAATAAAAATAAGGAAAAAATTTAAAAAAAAAGAACAATGATGTAAAAAAATAAAAAATTAAAATATAATACAATACAAAAAAAAAAGGTCTGCAAAAGATATTCATAGAAAAATTTTAAGACAAAAACTCAAACACCATAAATGTTATATACATAAATGTATGGGATTTCTATGCAATAAAATATTTTGTACCCCTAAGAAGTTTAAATATAGGACCTCCCTGGTGGCGCAAGGGGTTAAGCACAGCACTATGAAGCAATCCATAGCCTCTGCAGCCGAGTTCAACCCCTGTCTGAACAGCCACTCAAGATGCCAGATAAGTGAATACAAGAGGAAAGGGGAAGGGAGTCAATAAGCTTTGTCTCCTCTGTTGGTCAAATTCTTCTAGCAAATTTCCACGAAAGGGCTATTGTCCCAGGGAACCATTAAATAAAGGACTGATGGTGCTGAGGGGTCACCTCAATCCCAGACATGTTCAAGGGGTTGTCCCCAAATGACAGCAAAAAATCCCCACCCAAAAATCCACCAAAGACCCCAATCCTTCTAGATCTATCTCATTTAAGAAGTAAGCTCTCTTCCCAGGGAAGCTCTCTTCCCAAGTCTTCCTTCCACTTAATCTCTCAGGGGTGAATCATGATCGAAGCCCATCTTGAGGCATTTTTTTTTTATTTTTTTAAAGATTTATTTATTTATGCATAAAGAGCTGGGGTACAGGCCAGAGATGCCAGGGGTGAGAGGATTCACCAGAGACAGAGTGGGGAACAGAACAGGCAGATTGACTGAAACACCACTGAGGGGAGAAGCAGGCGAGAAAGGAGAGGTCTGCTGCGCAAAAAACAAAACAAAACACAAAAAACTCCTTTTTTCCCTTTGTAATAAACTGTTGTTGCTGTACCCTGAGCCTGAATGGTTCCTTGCAACTGTGGGCATATGGGTGAGACCCCAGAGAGTTTCCCACCTTGGCACTGTTTTAGCCTCCTCAGGGAGGAAGAGTGGACAGTGCTTATGGATTGTTTGAATGTTTATTAATTGGCACTATATGTAGGTATCTCTGAGGGTAAAATGGTTTTTATAAGCTGTTGAAGTACAAAGCTGTACATAGTTGAAAACCAGTATTACCTCCAAAAAAAGTAAATAAAGAAAATATTTACAATAGACTGCTCGTAGTTTGATTTCTTATGGTCTCTAACAATTTTTGCTCTTAAATTGTGATCTCTAGATGGGGGTATCAAGACAAGGGGGACAGGGCTGACAAAGCTTTTTCTGTGAAGGGCTAGGAAATATTTTCAACTTCTCAAGACATGAAGTCTCTGTCTCAGCTCCTGAATTCTGCCATTGCAGTGCGAAAGCAGCCATGGAGGATACATACACAAGTGAGCATGGCTGGGTTCCAATACGACTTTTCTGTAAAAACAGGTGTGGGCCGTATTTGGCAATCCTGTTTGGACATGTATAGTTAATGTAATTATCTGTATCGTTGGGTTTAAGTCTACCATCTTATTTTTTCTATTTGTCTTAAATATTCCCTTTTACTCTCCTTTTAGATCAATCAAATGTTTTGTAGGATCCCATTTGATCTCTACTAATGGTTATAGTATAATGGCTCTACTATACTTCTTTGCTCATTTGAGTTTACAAAATACATTTTATCACAATATACCTTCAAATAATATACCATTTTGTAGATAATGCAGGATCCTTAAGTTTATTTCTATTGTCCTCTTCCATCGTTTGTGCTATTTTTTAAAATATATTTTGCCATTCCATATGTTATAAATCCCATTATTGTTTTTAAAAGTAAATTATCTTAAAAAGTTAAACATGAAATATTGTACATATTTATCTGTTATACCTCCTTTCTTTAAATAGATCGGAACTTCCATCTGCTATATATAACACACCTTACAGATTCTTCTCATTATATTTATGTTTTTCTTTAAATCCTTGTGTATATGTATAATAGCTCTTCAAAAATTACTTCTGCTAATTCTATCATTTATTTCTGGGTCTGTATCATTGGCTTTCATCTTAGTTTGGGTCATATTTTCTTGCTTCTTTCCATTTGTAGTAATTTTTCAGTGGCTATTGTACATTATGCCAGTTCTCTATCATTCTGTGAAAACGGCCTAGGATAACTGGCATGTTAGAATTTTCTCTTAAAATGAAAAAGTTTGTAAACCACTTCAATCCTCCTTCCACCAAGCCTGTCTCCAGCCTAGAGCAGGAAGATGTCAGAGAGGGGGTAATTCTCAGGGTTTCTCCCACCTCAAATTTTGTGTGTTGTCTTTTTCCAGGACTGGTGTGGTGGGTCCAAACTACAGTTGTGAGAACATTTAGACACATCCAGGGAATTGGTGGTCTTGGATTTTGGAAGAGGGGAGGCCAACTCCTGGGCTTCAGCACTTACATCCCAGGCTCTCCAGAGGCCGCCACTGCCCCTCCCTTTCCGGAGTCTCAGCCCTTCCGCCCAGGGCAGGCCCTTCCCCGCCGGAGGTCCCCTGGAGTCTTCAGGTGGCGATGGGAAGCTTAGGTTTCAGCTCACTCTCTGCTTTCTCAGGGCGCTTCCTTGAAGGCCCATCAAAGCGCCAACCCTGTCAGAGTGTGTTTGTTCATCTATGTGTTTGTTCAATTGCCTGTTGTGGCTTTTACCAGAGAGAAGCTTCATGAGAACATGAGATCGTCTTCTTTATTGCTTTATACCCAAATATAACACTTTTTAAGTTTTGTTTAATGGTTGGGTATCCTTTCAACCTTGCCCCCAGCGGACAATCCCTTCTTTGAATTTTTTCAGTAAAATCAAACAATACAAGGAAGGCCATTAGGTACAAAATACTCATGTATTTATGAATTCATGACCAAATTAAATATGAAACCTTATATAAAAAGAGGTGTGGTGTTTTTCCTCCCCCACCCCCCTTCCCCCCTGCAGCAGCTTCTAAGGCCATGCACGGGACTCCCTCCCTCCCTTCATGCTGGCTCTGCTTGGGTGTCCCTGTTCTAACTCTGGATTTCCAAGTACCAGGTTCCTGAGGACTGGAACTGGCCCCTCCTCCTCTCCCTCTCCTGCAGCCTGAGGACGGGGCTGCAGCACAGCCTCTCCAGGTGGAGTCTCCAGGAGGCACCTGGGCCTGCTGGGCTCCTGCTTGGTGCAGACCGGCTCTGGCAGAGCCATTGGGGAAGGGCAGTGGGTCCCTGAGGGGTGAGCTGGCCCTGGGTGGTGGGATACTTCTGGGAACACTCCCTGGCCATCTTCACTTTCTCTCACCACTGGCCTTTGTGCATCCTCATCAGTGGCCCAGATTCCTCAGCCTGCGAAGTCAGGAACACCTTTCCCCTCCCCTTGTTCTGGAGGCCCTGGTCTCCCTCTCACCTAGCATTCTTGGAAGCCCTAAGACTCAGGTGTGTCCCTCCTCTGTTACCTTCCCCCAGAGCAAGGGGGTAGAGCTGCATCCTGCTCCAGCATTGTCTCCCACCCTGCCCTTCAGCTCCTCAGCCCTCCCTGAGGCCAAAGGCTGCGCTCAGCTGAAGGGAGGCTGACAAGCCGGCAGGGGGCAGCACATGCCCAGCTTCCAAGCCAGCCTCCCACCCGCTCCAGGGACTTGAGGGAAGGCAGTCATGCCTGGGGTCAGTCCCAGCTCTGACAACAGGGGTCGCTGGCACTCTCGATCTACTGGATCTCTACCTCCTCTTGTCTTACCCCTTGACTAACCTCAAATCTCTAGGTGGTGGCTCCACATAATTGTTGCAAAGTTTCCCTTTGTTTGGGATTTACTCTAGCCCTGACTTAAAGCCAGACTGTCGATGGTGCAGCCCACCCCAGGGGGCTGGGACCTAAAGCCACTCCCCCTTTCTAAAGCATCTTTCTCTAGCTTGGCACCTAATTGCCCCTCTGGCACCACCCTTCAACTAAGGGGCTCATCCTTTCAAATCTATAAAGGGTGTTTGGGGGGGGTATGAAATGTGGATCAGCATTAGAAAAGGGGAACAGGTCAGGCATGGCCCAGCATTTCCCCAGGGGGTGCAAGCTAGTCTTAATCCTCCACATTCATCTTCTCCTCAGGACTGACCTTGGTTTTGCTCCAATTTAATTCTCCCTTTTTCTCTCCTCCCCTTTTATCCCAAACCAGCTAAGAACGACCATGTTCTATAAGCCTTCATTACAGGGACTCCTGTTCTCCAAATTCAGCCCTTTATCTGACCTTTCTACCCACCCCACCCTCAATACCATCACATCCTATGGGGTCATCCTCAGTAGGTGAAGGGGTAACTTGATTCTCGACATGGATTAAAGCAGGGGTCCCACGCCAGGTCTGAGCCCTGAGACACTGCCCCTTACCCCAGCCCCTGAAACTTCAACCCCAGGAGGCTGAAGGGGTAGAAATGTGTGGCCCTCAGAGTCAGCAGCAGGGCCAGGACCTCCTCAGCCACAGCAGGTGACAAGTTCTTTCCTGAAAGCCATCGGAGTCAATTCTACATCCTAAACCTTTATCTCATCATCATAGGAGCCCGTTAGGCTTTATAAAAATGTAAGCTATACGTTGTCTTTTTCTGTTTTTCTTCCTTCAAGGAGATAAGAGGATAGGATATTTTGTTGGTGATTTTGTTTGCTGTTGTTAGGGTTTTGTTTTTTGTTTTTGCTACTTTTGCCTCACCCCATAAGAAGCCATGCTAACCAGAGGTGGGGAGGGGCCCCACAGAACAGGGGATTGCTATACCCAGACCCCTTCCCCCACCACCTTCCTTCTCTGCCCCCATCCCAGCTGTTGCTGTTGGCTCTCCTCTCCAAATCTGAGTGGTGAAGGACCAGGGAGGGAGACTTCTGATTGCACCAAAAGCAACTGCTTCTAGGCCCATATTCTGAGCAGCCTGCCAGCCTTCATCAGGCCTGGATGCATGTGGCCCTATAGGGAGGCTGGCAGAGTGGAGGCCTTTACACTTGTGGCCTCTGGCAGCTGTGCCCCAGGATGCAAAAGCCTTGAGTTGGGCTCTAAAGGCTTAATTTCTACCCTGGCTTCTCCAGTGAGGATTTAAGTAGGCGCCATGTGGGAACACCCACAAAACAAGTGTAGCCCTCAAGTCCTTTGCTGGAAAAACACGGCCACAGAGGCAGGACCCTCAGAGACACATACCACAGGTCTCATGGCCAGGAGCAGTTTCCCTTTGACTCTGGGGTTCACCAACTGAGAGATAAGGTGCCAGACTTAGCCCTTTCATGCTCCCACCCTCCAGCAGCTTCTCCTACCCAGCCTTGGAACTGGAGACCTCTGCAGGGCGTGCCTGCTCTGATTGACAAGGCCCAGCTCCTCTCTTGCTGTCTATGAGAACAGCTCTGCCCTCAAGGGTCCTGGTTATGTGGGTCCCCTTGTCCCTGGAAGGTGGGGGTGAGGGGGCAATGCAGAAGAGCAGAGGGGCAAGTAGGGACAACAGCAGCAGGGTCAGAAGAGGGTGGCAGCATCTCAGACCACGGCTGAGGAGGAAGATGGGGATGATGAGGAGGCAGCGGAAGAGGATGGTGAGGAGGGACTGTTCCAGAACAGCCATCGCCGCTTGGGCTGCCGCTTCAGGTGGAGATAATCCTCCTTCTCCCGTTCTTTCCGTGCCCGCTGGTAGTGGTCCTCCTCCTTCAGGTACCAGACAGGTGGCCACCGGTGCTTCTCAAAATACTCCTGGTTTTCTGGAGTGGAGTGGAAGAGGGCATGTTAGGAGGGGGGCAGGAGAAGGCCCAGAGGGGTGTGGTTTGTGGAGGATCTCAGAGGAACCCCCACCCCACTGCCACAGGGACCCACAGTAGACCTTCAAGGAACAGAGACTGGCCTGGGAAACTAGTCCCTGCCTTCACAGAGGCCCCCTGTAGCTGCAGAGCTCCCGAAAGAAAGTTAAATGCCCAGGAAGTGGGGGTGACAAGGCTGGGGAAACGCTCTCCCAGTTATGCTGTTCTCCAAAGACAGAGGGGGGATCTAACTGAGGGTTTCATATGTACTGGGGAGGAAAAAGTCTGAGACAAAGAACCAAAGAGGAAGAAAGGGTGAGAAACACTGTCACAGATGCTTAGAAAGGTTGGGAGTAAGAGCAGAAGATTCTGGCAGAGCTGTGGCTGAAGGGAGGGCCCGAGGGAGGGCTGCAGGAAGACAAGCGGTCAAACTGCAGGATGGTTAGGCTGAGGGGTTTGGACTTATTCTGGAAGGTATGGAGGCCATGGAAGTTTGGGGTCAGAGGAGTGACATGATAGGAGCTATTCTTTAGAGAGAAAACGCTAAAAGGGTTGTAATAATCATGAAAGGTGGAAAAACTGGTAAGTGGAGTGACAAACTAGAAGGGGGAGGAGAGTCACAGCAGAATGGAGACCTCAAGAACATGTGACAGGAACTCAGAGAAGCCAGCAACACTTCCCCTGGAGCCCACACCTTCCTGTTGGGCCCCAGGACCTGACACATTAATCAAGCAGAAGTCATCGCGGGAGACCTCCAAGATAACCAAACCTGAGTTGTCCAAGCTGGGATGTGTGCCCGTCCTAGTTCCTCAATGTAGTGGGTCATGGGCAGCATTATAAATGATTTCTATATTTTTCTATTCGAGTACTGGCTCACAATCTAAAGTGTATTTCCTACTGTGCAATCCTGTCCAAAAAAGTTTGAAAGATACAACTCAATCTAGTTCAAACCCCTTTTCAGAACTATGACAAGAGAGGCCTGAGAGGTAGGGCAAGTTGCCCCAAGTCCCCAGCAACCCTGCCCTCTGGGCCAGGACTTGTCCTCGGGGCCCCCTCGGCTTGGCCGGATGTTCCTTTGCAGATGCTTTCCAACCCCAAAGTCACGTTAAGTTCCAGGACCACTAGCAGGCTCCAGGTGCCCTGGAGTGGCCCCAGGTTGAGGCTCCTTGGGAGTGAGGGAGGCGTGGCAGGTCCTGCCGGGATGCTCACCTGGGGACATGGCCTTCATGTCGCGGGGGAACTTGCGGCACACGTTGTTGTAGTTGGTGCAGATGTGGTGGAGACACCAGTCGGCCAACTGGTATGCGCAGTGGAACTAGGGACAGATAGAAGGGAGTCTGTGAAGAGACCCTGGAGCGGGGTCTTCACAGCATCTACAGCGGACCTCAGGGCTAAGTTTAGGGGCAGAGAATAAAGTGCCTTGTAGTCACAAAGAACCCACCTCCAGAGGCAAGCCTACACAAAACTATGAGGACAGAATGTTGGATCTGGCTTTGTGGGACATCACCATTACCTCACCTCTGTCCTGCGCAAACCCCTTCCCACCACCCCAGAATCCACTCCTCCTTCTCCCCATCAGGGACTAAAGCTGTCTGCACTAAGGTGCTGAGGACTGGACTCAAGGAGCTGAATTTCCCAGGGCTGTCTGTAAGCCTCAAAACTGCATGGTTTAATTTCATAATTTAATCTTTTATGGTAGGATTTCTGGTGCTGTGAGGGTCGATGTGGGAGATTTTGCTAGGTTGTTTGTAAATAAGGAGATGGGCAGTTAATTTTAGGTGAGTCCTCGATGTCCTTTAAATGACCTTAGACAGGCAGCAACCATGTCTAAACACGACACTGGGGCTCCCTCCATGCCCGAAGTCTCAGTCCCTTCCTCCCACTGTCAGCTTTTCTCCTTGGCATATCAGGTGGGTGCTCTGGCATGCAGGATGACATGGGCTCTGCCCAGCCAGGGAACTGAGTCTGATGATGGGTTCCCTCCTGCCCACCAATGCCCAATCCCCCTCATTCACTGCCAGTGGGCAGACAGAACCCCACACTGGGAATGCTGGAGAGATTCCTCCCCTCGCCTCATACCTGAGCCAGTTCCAGGAACACAAGGACATCCCCATCAATGTCAACCATCATCTGGGTTGCTTCCATCAGCCCGGTCACTGTGTACTGCTCTGTGACACACACAGCCAGGAATCAGCTGAAGAATCCCGAGAAACAAACATGCCCTCACTGAAGCCCCCTGGCAAGGGCTCACTGCAGGGCAAAGAGAGATCAGAGCCAAGGGCAAGTCCCAGCAGGCCACGAAAGGCCACAGGAGATTAAAGGTGCTCCCACCAGCGAAGAAGCTGGGATCTGAATAAGACTTTCCCAGTGGAGAGAGGGTGGAAAGTAAAGGGGATGTTAGAATCATCTAAGAGGAATTTTCAAGTTATGTATGTTCCCCCAATAACCTAATCTACATAGGGTGAGAGCCCCCAGTGGAATCAACCCAGATACTACTAGGAGAGAGTATTAAGACTCAGGTCTGCTGAGAACTACAAAATGAAAAACATGGATTAAACCTAGTTATTTGAATTAATTTAAATCTAGTAACAAAAAATGGGTTTTATGTTAAAGTGTCTATATCGAAGACGTGAACATTCTTAGTTCTACATTTTAACTGTTTCAGTATAAACTCATGAGGCATTTTATCTTTAAAAGTATATGTGTATTCCATGGAATATTACTCAGCATTCAAAAAAGATAAACACATGCAATTTGCAGCAACATGGATGGCGCTGGAAGGGATCATGCTCAGAGAAATAAGCCAGAAAGAAAAAGAAAAATACCGGATGGTCTCACTCATAGCAGGAATCTAGAAAACTTAAATAAGGGACCAGGAAAAAGAATAACTATAAGAAAGAAAAAATCAAAAATCAAAATCAAAATCAACAAACAACTATGAACCAGAGACACTCTATGGGGGCTGGGGGGGCAGGGAAAGGAGGAATTGGGGTCAAAATAAGGGGGTTGCAATTGCATGGGGAATATAAAAATAAAATTAAAAAAATAAAACACTGAAGGGAAAAAGGAACAGTCAAAAAAAAAAATAAATCCTATATACCTAGAGACAGGTTAATAAAAAATTGTTAAAAAAAAAAAAAGTATATGTGTATTTCTCAGCTGAGTCCATGGAAAAGACCTAGAAGCAACAGGCAACTTAGAGCATAAGCATCCCTCGTGCACAGACTAGCCTTGAACACATTCCAACTGTAAGAGACGAGGACTCGCATAGAAATAGGGCAGGAGATATCCAAGATGAACCTGGAACACCTTGTCATTCCACACAGCCAGAAAGTTCCATCAGCCTGTGGCTAGAGCCACGCAAAGACACTTCTACCAGCTAACAGTGCAATACAGTCTCTGAGCGTGAACAGAATAACTGCAATTAATGGAGACCAAGCAGGTATGCTCAAATGGAAGGATTCATAATAGTTCTTCATGAAGAAAAAACATTTGGTCAGCCTCAAATGGTGATAGGAAACAAATTTAACTTGAAAATGGTAAATAGGGCCTCCCTGGTGGCACAAGGGGTTAAGCACGACACTGTGAAGCAATCCGCAGCCTCTGCAGCACGAGTTCGATCCCCTGCTGGCCAGGGAGCAACCCACATGGTGCAGCAGACCTCTCTTGTCTTGCCCGCTGCTCCCCTCAGCAGTGTACTTCAGTCAGTCTGCCTGTTCTATTCCCCGCTCTGTCTCTGGTGGGTCCTCTCACCCCCCAACACCTCTGGCCTGTACCTGTACCCCGGCTCTTGTATGCATAAATAAATAAATCTTAAAAAAAGAAAAAAAAAAAGAAAATGGCAAATACAAGGAAAGAATGAAGCCCTGACATTCCCACACGAACTGTCCTCTGGATAATCAGTTGATGGGGGAAGTTTCTCTCTTTTTAGATATTCTGAGAGGAAGGAATGATTGGATTGGAATATTACCATTCAGAACACCTAAAAAATTACTGAATCCAGGCAGTATCAATGGCAACAAGCATCACAGAAAGAGAGAAATACTGGCAACCTGTCCTCTTGATGAAAAGTCAAATCTATGAAGTAGTTTTGCCCAAAGAAAACTGAATGTGAACTTCATCTGGCCTCTAGACCAATGACCAGCTGACAGGAAACATGGGTACTACAGAAACGCGATCAGCAAAAATCCAGATTGTGGAAAACTCTACAGGACAAAAGGTCAGCGGGTCTCTGCCAAAAATAAATTACAAAGGAAATAAATTTTAATAGACAAGGTATCTGTAGATTCAAAGAAATTTAAATGACATATAAAAAATAAAATTATGCTATAGGGTTTAGTGTTGCAAGATAAAACTATGAAAAAATGTAAGGGGAGGAGGGTCATAAAAATTACCCTACAGAAGAATAATAGGCAGAGGGTATCTTCTGGCAGAGGGTGACTGGGAAGTACAGGGGAGGCTTCCTGTGTGGCCAGCAAGGTTCTAGCTCCCAAAAGGTGTCATTTTGCTTTATAATAATTCATTAAGCTGAACATGTTTCGTGAATTTGTATTATACTTAGCAACTAAAAAAGCTTTAATTTTGAATCACTAATTGCATAGAAAGCATATCTCGCCAAACTGAACACATCACCAACTATACTATAATCGCTCAACAGTAATTACTCAGCATCTTCTGATCCTTAGCAAGGTACACACACAGTGCATTTCCCCCTGCGTCTGCTAGTGTACACAGCGCTTTCACAGGACAGTCATCAATGCTATTTCCACCGGCCCTCCCGTGTGGCGGTGCAGGTGAGCATCTTTAAAGGCCCGGGCCTGCCTGTCTGACTCGTGAGTGGTTGCTTGCCACAATGAAGCAAGTTTATAGAAATATCTTTGCATTTTTTTTCTTTTGGGTCATTTCTTTTGGAAATAGTCTTTCTAAAGTTGAATTACTGAGCCCAAAATTTTGGACAGTTTTATGTGCTCTGGGATGATGGCAGTACTTTTCGAGGACATCAGTAGTTGACACACTGTCTTTTGCTCCAGGCCCTACAGCTCTATGTGGCCCCGGCCAGGGTCCTTGATGCCTCTCCAGGCTCAGCTCTTAATATTCTGCTCCTGGGGCCTCCCTGGTGGTACAGGGGTTAAAGTCTCATTGTGATCAGACTATTGCCAGCCACTGCAGCGTGAGTTCAATCCCTGGCCTGGGAGCTGACCCACTGGCGCAGCAGACCTCTCCTGTGTCACCCGCTGCTCCCCTCAGTAGTGTATTTCAGTTCTTCTGCCTGTTCTGCTCTCTGCTCTGTCTCTGGTGAATTCTCTCGCCCTCCTGCGCCTCTGGCCTGTATCCCAGTGCTTGTATAAATAAATAAATCTTTAAAAAAAAAAACTCTTAAAAAAAAATTACCAGTACAGGTATTAACACCAACATCACACAAATGCCAATTCCCACTTCCGTGGAAGCCTTCTGAAAGGCTCCCTGCATCTGAACAGCTCTGGTTCTCTTCTCCAGCCCCTTGGATGCCCCTAATCCCCACCTGCCTGGTCTCTCCAGCAAGGGCTTGGATCTCAGTCCTTGCTGCTCAAATGCTCACACTCTTTTCAAAGATTAGGAGTGGAAGGTCAATGTTTGATTTTTATTTTAAAGAAAAGTAGGTGAGGGCCTTCCTGTTGGTGCAAGGGGTTAAGCACAGCACTGTGAAGCTATCTGCAGCCTCTGCAGCACAAGTTCAATCCCCTGGCCGGCCTGGGAGCTACCCACATGGTACACAGACCTCTCCTGTCTCACCCGCTGCTCCCCTCAGCAGTGTATTTTGGACGGTCTGCCTGTTCTGTTCCCCGCTCTGTCTCTGGTGAATCCTCTCACCCCTCACACCTCTGGCCTGTACCCCAGCTCTTGTATGCATAAATAAATCTTTGAAAAAAAGAAAAAAGAAAAGCAGGTGAAGTTGAAGGTAAAGGAGGAAAGAAAGGAGGGAGAAAGGGAAAAAGGGAAGGAGAAGGGAATAAAAGAAAGAAGGAAGAGAAGAACCAAAGGGTAGAAGCAGAATTGCGTTCTCTTCTTTCCAGCTTGAGGGCAGCCACTGGGCACTATCACCTACTGGAGACCACTTCGCTGGGCTGAAATCACCTTTGGAGAGAGCTTGTGAGGTGACCCCATGGAGCATTCCCTCACATTCACTTCTTTACATCCGTGTCCTCACCCAAACCTCCGCACCATATTTCACTTTTTGTCAACTTAGTCCCTTGGTGCTGTAGCCAGTCCCCTAGGAGGAGAGAGGCAGAGAGAAGATCTAATCACGCCTGGGGGGTTCCCTGCCTTCTTTCCTGGGGAGGTCCCTGGGCACTCTGGTTAGTTACCTGTGAGAGCAACCAGGTGCGGCAGGCAGAGGCGGTTGGCCAAGATGATGAGCTTCATGTCGTCCAGGTCGGGGCTGGAGGTGAACATGCCCGTGTAGAGGTACTCCAGCACGGCCCTCATGCAGCTCTTGCTCGTGTAGGGAAACACCACCTGTGGGGGGGAGCCCCTCCATTCTGAGACACATGGCCCATGCAATTGGTCTCCCTCAGACACAGCCCTTCCTGTGCAACTCAACCTGCTGTGAAGACCCCCAAAAGGCCTGTCTCCTGGGGCAACTGGCACAGAGCACCAGTGGGCAGGGCTCGGATACCTTTCAAAAAGATCTAGCGTCTCATTGGCATCCTTCCGAAGCTATTCTGGCTTGGCGGATGCTTGAGGAGTTCTGCACCCCCCCCACCCCCCACCCCACCCCAGCCCTGCAGGGAGCCCTGGAAGTGGGATCCAGAGCAAAGCAAACACTGGCTGGCTTCTTTCTGGTTGTTCAAGGTTGCTGCCTGGGGCCTCTGGGATCTCGTCAGAACAGTGCTGCCACAAAAAACTGCTTTCTCATCAGGCAAGTATCTCCAGGTTGCGCAGGGAATCGCCTAGAGCTTTCAAGTTGGCTCTAAGGTACTGAGAAGTGCCTAGGGCTGGCAGGCCCATAGGGCTTCGGAGAATTCCTAATCTCAGGCTTGGAATATCCAAAACCAAAAGAGGCTTCAAGGATCAGAGACTCAAATCTCAACCCCTCCACTGTGCCTTCAATTAGGACTTCCCAGAAATCTTGGCAAATTCCTATTCTCTGTCACAGGATGTGGCGCTGTGTTGTTATTGGTCCAGGTCTAAATCAAGAGACCAGCAGTGAAGAGGCTGAAGTGAAAGCGCTAGTCTCCTGGGCTCAAAAGAAATCACAGACCAGCTGGGAAAACTGCCTGTGACACTCAGAACTTTAAGCATCTGCACCAAGTTAGCCTTGCTAGCTGCAAGGCTGAGGCTGGACACCCATGTTACAGTTTGGAGAAGACGGGGCACACCCCGGACCAAGGCCTGGGCTGCTCTGATTCACTGGAAGAATGGAAAGGAAAGGAGAAACTTAAGGAATATTTCCCAGGACACGTTGATAGATTCCTTTTGAATCAGGCGCCTGAGAAAGTGACAGTGTGAACTGAAGGTGAACTGAAGCCATACTCATTAGAATGAAAGGTGACTGTATAAAGCCTTTCTTCTTACTTATGCACTTTGATGCTTTGAAACCCTGCAGGGACTGGCCCTCCCAGACCTAGCCCATTCCCAGAGATAGTGAAGGAGTCACCTGCTATCACACCTTTCATCTGCAAACCTCTCAATCCAGAGTCTACACCCCTCGACCACCTCCTCTATCAGACTCTCAAGGTCCAGGTCACCATTCACTGGTCCCAATTCACAGAACAAGGTTCCAAACAACTAAGGAGAGCCCTACACCCCAGAGTCTGCTGAAATTATTCGAGCCTGTCAATCAGAAACCTGCTTACCCCCACTTATGCTCTCCATCCCATGGAAACTACAGTAAAGGTTCTTGTCCATGGTTCATCTTGCTCCCTGTGCCTCCTGACCAACACTGGGGCTTCCCTGTATACCCCCTCCCTGCCCTACATGGGCCCCTCCAATTGAGATTTGAGATGTAATAATGTATCTTTTCAGTGGCTGTTTTCTCTTGATCTCTTGGCTTTGCCATACCTTAATATTAATAAACCCTACATAAAACAGTGATGGGTTCTTTTTGAGACACACTGAATTTTTTCTAGTTGCCTCCTAAGTGTCAGGGAGAGAACAAGATACAAGGTAAGGAGCTGGGGAATTAGAAGTGATGATTTCAAGTCCTAATCCTTTGCTACTTAGGCAACTTTGAGCAAGTCATTTAACTTCTCAGGGTCTTGCTTTCCTTAAGTATAAAGTGGGAATGCTGCACTGAGTATGAGCTGTGTGCAAGACCTGAAAACCGTATTTGTTGTTAAAATGTTACTCTAATTCCCTGTCCAGGTGTACTGGAAAATCCTTGGCCGAGGGAAACACCTCATCAAGTTCTCTTGGGCCCACCTCTCAGCTGGCACAGTCCATACAAAAGAAAATATCATTAACTGACAGGTCTCAGGTGCAAAAGGTGTGAGTCTCTTTTCCAACTAGCCCCACCCAGCCTTACCTCCCTGGTGGAACTCTCCACAAACGGCCCCCCAAACATGGCAGCCATCCAGTCGCAGCTGGAAATCAATAGGGGCTTGTGGGCACTGATGGTGCCATCATCCAGGATGAAGGTCACATCTGTCCGGGAGAAGAGGCATCACGTGAGGATGTGGTGAAAGAAAGTGGAACTGCCAACCTGAGATGCTGATCCCAGGCAGCCTGCCTCCTTCTGAAGCCATGGTCTGTGGAGTGCTAAGCAACTGAGCTCTCGGCAGGGGAAATGAGGCTCCAGAAGTGGCGTCTCCACATCTCCCAGACATCACCTCCTGAGACAATTGGGAATGCTAGTTGGGTCAACCCAGAGCTTGAGAAGCTGCAGGAAGGGAACTCCCCTGCCTTCTGGCTGTCAGTCCCTAAGCACATGCTATACCTGAGAAGGTGCCTTTTGCCAAGCACTCCTTGACTCGGTTGGTCCGGCGGACATGGAAGGCCTTGGTGATCTCCTGGTTCATGAAGGCCTCATTGTTGAGGATGTTGGCCACCATCATGCGCAAATCAAAGACCTCTAGCAGCTCCGCGATGTGCGCGATGTGCATGAGGTCCCGCTCCTTCTCGTCCAGCTCCCCCGTGTACAGGTACTTGAGAACAGCACGGAAGGGCCCCGGCTGGATGGAGTTGTCCATTTTTACCACTACCATCAGCCGGGATTTGTAGGTCAGAGGATCTTCTGCCATCTCTTCCTGGATGCTCACAAAAGCTCGGCTCCAGGAAGACAGCACTCGACCCCGCCCTGGCAGGTACCCTGTTCCATTGCCCCGCAAGATCCCGTCGCTGGTCGAGGCCCGAAGCCCAGCAGGCCCGGAGCTCCCGCCCTCCTCCACGCTCTCGCACACGTCAAAGCTGGCTGCTCGAAGCAGGAAGTCCCGTCCGTGGTGGTGGTGGTGGTGGTGGTGATCAGGGTGACCCCTATGGTCCTCTGGGCGGGGGCCCCCTGACCCTGAGGGGCCCCCCAACTCCCCCTCACTCAGGTCCATGAGGAACAGGTCATAGAACTTGGAGGAGGAGGTGGAGAGGTAGATCTTGTGGGCAAAGATGCGCACCCGCTCCTGCAGCACCAGGATGACATCCGCACACAGCGGGTCCTCCAGGAGGTGGGCGGGGCACTCCTCGCTGCTGGAGGGGGGGTCGGGCACCACGATGATCGGGGGAGGTGGCTTGGGAGGCAGGAAGGGTGCCTGCAACAGAGGCCGCTGCACATTTCGGAGGTGGGACTTCCAGAACTGCAGGTGCCGGCGAGAGATGAGTGCCGCCCGGATGGCGTTGTCAAAGACGTCCTTGATGCCAAACTGGGCCACCACGCTGGTCTCGTAGTAGGGAATGCCCAGCTCCTTGGCCACCTCCCGACCCTTCTCTGGGGGAAGGATCTCATTGGGCTTGATAGGCCTGTAGGTTCAAGAAAGAAAACCAAACTTGTGTTGGGGGTGGAAGGCGGGAGTCTGGGACATGCAGCGGTGCAGGGCCTGACCATTGACTGGACAGCAGGATGTGCCCCTGGCTCCCTCCTGCCCAGCTCATTTGCACTGAATCTCTGCTCTTTCTCCTGTCTGACCAAACCCTAGCAGTCCTCTAAGGTCCACCTCCCACACCCTCTTCTTCCGGAAGTCTTCTGAATCTATGCCAGGTCCCTGCTCACAACAGTGGTAGCACCTAAATGCCTCTCTGGCAATTAGAACAGAAGGGTCCATGTTGGTCTTTACTTGTTGACATATTAATTCATCTCCCAGCAAGACTATAACCCCTTTCACATAAAGACAACCTCCTCTTCTTCTCTCCTCCTGGTGCTTAGCCCGGTATTGCCCACACAGGCACAAGAGATGAATTAATGAGTGAATGGTGGGCCCCCTACATAAGCTTGTTTCAAAGGAAGGGAGAGGTGCAAGAATGAGCAGGGTTCCCTCAGGGCTGAGTAGGGCACAATGAAGACACCCCCATCCAGTCTTCCTCCTTTCCTTGGGTAGCAACAGCACCCCCTACCTCGCCAAGGGTCGTCTAGCCCTATTGACAGCCTCCAGGTCAGCGTAGCGCAGGTCCAGCTGGCAGCCCACCAGGATGACCGGTGCTCGAGGGCAGAAGTGCTTGATCTCTGGGTACCACATGGTCTTAACATGGTGGAGGGAATTGGGGTTGGCGATGGAGAAGCACAGAACCACCACATCAGATCTGGGGGTGGGAGAGTAAGGTTAAGGGCAGAGAATGCTAGCAATAGGTTACCTGCCCCTGGAAACAGGAAGAGCAGCCAGCCCGCCCCCCCTCCCTGTGCTGCACCCCACATCTGTCACCTGCTCACATGATCTGATACGAAATGTATAATAATAGCACCTCTCATTTATGTACCTCTAATTTAGCATTTTAGAGCTTTCAGAGATGCTTATTTTGACCTTGTGGCTATCTTGTGAGTTAGAAATTACCATTTTTATCATCTCAGAATAGTTAATCGCTCAAAGTGACAGAGCTAGTAGGGAGCAGGGCTGGGACTCTAAGCCCTGGCTCCTTCCACTGCCCCAGCCTGCCTCCTCTGTGAGGGTCCCTTTTCTCTACTTCTTCCTCCTAATTTAAACTTGACAAAGTTGCACTGTTCCTTGGGAAACTGGGGCGATACCCACCCACCTGGCTCCCTGCTGGTAGTCAGAAGCATTCCTTACCTCCCATAAGCAAAACGACGGTCTTTGTGGTGGTCTCCAAAGGTGTCCCAGAGGCGGAGGGAAACGCTAACATCGTCTACCACATCTCGGGAGCGTTCCAGCACCTGCGGGGGACAAGGAGGAAGGTGGGATCAGGGCAACAGTAACTTGGAGCCCCAGTATCAGTTCAGGCTGGTGCCAGCTTACCCCAAGGGTCCTGGCAACTTGGGGATTGGAAGGGCAGCTCTAGTACCTTCCACTATGTGCCCTGCACACTTTAATGCAGATGCTACCTCTGAAGACTCAGTAGTAAGGGCGGCCTCCAAGCTGTCAGAAGCACAGAGACCCTAAGGGGACAGACTGCTATGGCTGTGGACAGGAGTTTTCAGGGAGCTGTGTGTTGATGGGCCCCTGATCTGCCATTAGCCCACAGCTTCTTTCATTCTCTCAGCTCTCCAAAATCCCCCTCCTCTGTGCTCCCCATTACGGGGGCGATGATTGCACAGATGCTGTACCCAGACAAAGCTCGAGTGCAGGTACCAGCTCAGCCATGCACAACACAAATAGCCCAAGATCCTGCCCCTTAGGTGGGACTCACTTCAGGCCCCTCTCCAGGAGCTCCTTCCTCTTCAGCAGCCCTCACCCCACCCCCAGAGCTTCCGTGAGCTCAGCACAGGCCATGTTCGGAGACATGGGGCGAGGGCTTGGGAAAGACCCCATTGCACAGCCTGGGCCCCCACCAAGTGGCTTGCAGCCTTACCTCCTGGCATACCCGATACTGGTCGATGGCCCAAACCGTGGGCACATGGGTGGCGAGCAGTTGGTACTGGGTGAGGGTGGCATTGCAGGCCCGGGCACAGATGAGCCTGGTCTTGCCCACAGCGTTGTCCCCCACCACAACGCACTTGATGGTCTCTACGTTTGGCCTTTCATAATCCATGTCAGAATCCATTAATTGGGACCTGAGGGAGAGGAGAGAAGCGGTCAAGATGACTTTACATGTCAGCTTCCTGAGAGCCAGGGCCTGCAGCTCTCCTCAGCCCAGCCTCCCCCTTCAAACATTTGAGCAGAGAGGAGGAGAAAGGTGTGGGCAACTTTCTGGGCAATAGCTCTGCAGGGGCCCAAGGAGATGAGAGTCCATTCAGGCTGAGAAGAGCTGTTCCACTGGAGGTACCCCCTCTCCCCCTCCTGTTGCGGCCATCTTCCAACTGGGCCTCTGGATTGGGGAGGCCTGTGAGAGACCCCAGAGCCTGCCCAGGGCCTGTTCCCACTCTCCCAGAAAGAGAAGAGTCTGCCTGGGAAGCTCATTCATAACCTGCTCTCCTCCCACAGCAGGGCTGTGGCAGCACAACAACAAACAGCTGAGAGAAGCAGAGTCAGGGCCAGGCCCCACCCCTTCCCAGCATGCCTGAGGGCAGGGCCACTTTAAAATTTAATGGATTTGTCAGAGCTAAGTGTAGTTCTCTTGGCTTCTACCTTTCCACTCTCCCTGATTGTGGCATCTATGTCCTAACCATAGCTAGCCTTCGGCCCCACCCCTGCCCCCTTTATGGAGGTGTCAAGTCTTTCCTCCTGGTTTCTGAGCTAGGAAGGCTTCTGCATGTACCTGGGCAGCAACCCCGCCACCCCTCCCCTGGTCTGTCATGTCACCTGTGTGACCTACCCAGTTCTGAGATGGGAGTGGGGGAAACCACAGGCCTGTGACAATATAGTCTATGACCAGGGCCTTCCTACCCCCTACCCAAGACTGCCCTCCAAGTATTTGCATCCAGCCTCAGGAAGAGTAAGTTAAGTCTCCCTCTGCACTTCCCACTCCCATGGAAGGAGATTCTCAATCTGGAAGCCTTCAGACACCTGGCAATCTAGAGGAACAGCGGCTAAACTGGTGCACAAGTAATGTGCTCACTGGGGAAAGCAGAGGGCTGGAAACTTAGACCTGAATTTCCAGGCAAAGGCAAGCCTCAGTTTCCTTCGGTATTGGGCCAAAAGAAAGTAGCTTGTCCACCCACAGAGAGAGATGGCTCTAATGAACAAACAGAAGGCCCAGCTATTGTCAAAATGTCATGTCAGCTTAAAAAGCTGTCACCAGGAGGGGGCCTCAGCTTGAGGGGGCTTTTCCTGGCAACCTCCCAGTTGGCATGACCCTGCCTGGCAGGGATGTGAGGTGGGGAGGAAGGGCCAGGGAAGGAGTTTTTTGGAAGCCTGGTTTTGCCTGGGTCATTGGGCTGTCCCCCTCCTCCCCCTGCAGCCCCCCCACCCCCACCCCAACTCTCACAACCCCTGTGTGCATGAAGTCAGTGGGAACTGAAGCAACCTGGAGGAATTTTTCCTAGGCCCTGAGAGGTTGTGCTCAGAGGAGTCCTGGAGGCTGCCCAGGTGCCCTCACTGCTGAGCCATCCAGCCCAAGAGCTAAGCCACCAGCAGCAACTGAGAAGCTCAATTCCTGCCGGTCTGTAACTGGATGCCAGCATGCAGGAATGCAGAGCTGAAATATCCAAGTAACGATGGCAACTGGGATTTGCGTGAGTGGATGCATCTCAGCAACCTAAGCAAAAAGTGCAGCAAGGACTTTTCAATGAGACAAGTGCCTCCTCCTTCTTGGAATTTTACAGGATCTGAACTCTAATCAACAGGGGGTCTCCACACAGGTCCCTCCCCTGTCTCCAGGGCAATTGCCTGCATCATTTCTTCTCCTCCCCACCTCCCCGCCCTCCCCGGCAGGCAACGGTTATTCTAACCACCATCTTGCCTTTTCCCTGCTCGCTCTCCAGAGCTGGGGATTGGGAACCCCATTTTCACAGTTCCTGGTCTCAAGTCAGGACGTGTTGATTCTAGAGAAATCATCTGGGTTGTGCTTTCTATTTCATCAATTGAAAAACAAAACAGAATCCCAAATACAAATATATACAGCTGTAGAGAGATAAAAATCTACAAGCCAACAGAACTTCCTCGAATATAGATTTCCAGCAGCATGTAGGTCTGTAGGCAGGTGTGTGTTGGGGGTGAGGGGGAATGAGAGGGCATGGAGGAGGGGTGTCAGTTCTTAAATCAGGAGCAGCTTGATGGTGAGAAGGATACCAGATCACCAAGAGAACAGTGCTGGTCCAAGATCAGCAACTTTATGATGAAAACACTTTTGCACACCTTATGCACCTCAGGGGTTAAGCAGGGGACAGCCAGCCACCACGGAGGAGATCAACAAGCACTCTGCTGTGAGTTTAGACACCAGACCATCTGGGTGCTGCTCTGGCTGAACAGCCCACGCCCCCCATCCATTTCCCAGCTGTCCCTGCAGCCTTCCCCTGCAGGTCCCTAGACTTCCTCCCTATTTTTATCATTCTCACCCACTTCACCCCGTCCCAATTGCCTGACTGACAAACTTCATTGTTATCTCCAGGCAAGGGCAAATAATCACTTCACCTCTCTGGGCATCAGTCTGCCTTCTGGAAAATGGGTATGAGTACTTTGGAAAAAGTCTCCTGAATCTTGATGAATTCATGCCAAGACAGCCTGGGCAGAAAGAGGTATTTGCCTTCTTATGTAATATGGCATTATATAATGCTAGATTACATATCTATATGTAATTATAGCTCTCTTTAAGATACAGACTGGCCCATTTAAGCCAGCAGAACTCCTTTTTAGTCTAACCAGGCCTATCTTAAACAAGGATCCTGTACTGGAGGAGATAGTGTACCAATGCCAACAGTAATGTCATTTTTGCTCAAGAATATTGCCACTATAACTGTATCATTGCTGGTACATGATGATACAACCCATTCAATGAGCTTCTCAACTTCCCCTTTCCTTCTGGCACTCTCTTTTTCAATGACTAGACTTTTCTGTACAATTGCCTCATCTCCATGCCTTCTGAGTGTCCTGAGTAACCTCCATAAACTGAGGCTGCTTTGCCACCCTGCCCTGTGTATCATAATCCCCCAATTCACCCCTTTCCCTCCAGGATCCCATAATCACCTAGGATCCCTGCTCCCCTCCCCCAAACCAGCCTCCTACCCACTTTTCTCCCAGCATTTTGTACTCAGGCCAGGCCAAGTCCCAGGTGTACTCAGATTGGCTACAGCCCTTACCATCTCCCCGTCCCACCTCCACACCCCTACACACACTCTTCGTGAGCCCAGAAAAGCCCCCCCCCTTTCCCTCCCACAGCTAATAGGAGGCTTGTTCTTCTGTGGCTGCCCTAGTCTGGTTGTCAAGGAAACCACAGAATCTCCCTGGGAGCCTGGCTTGTCTCCTAGCAACCAATATCCCACATTCTGCATCTTACAAAATGTGAAAGGGAGGAATATCCTGAAAATGACGGTAAAAATCAAGGAGGATGGACGAGAAGGGAGAACAGGGAAGAGAAGGGGGGGGGTTGGTCTCCAAATTAAAGGAGGCTCCCACTGGGGTCACTGACATTGGAATATGGCAGAAGGCTGAGAGGTGAATCCTCCCGCGCAGATCCAATGGACAGCAAGGCCCAAAGGATTCTTGAACGGCCACATTACCAAACAATGCACACCTAAACACACAATAAACCTTCTCAGACCTAGGATGCCCAAATATCAACAAACAACGCTAAGGATTGCTCCAGCAGTTCGCCAAAGTCAGATGTACAGACTGCACTAGAGTTGGGTGGATAGAAACATTCACAGAACGGCAAGCAAAACACTCAAATTCCACTGGTTTTGAAGGGAAACACTCGCACCACTCTGCACCTTTCCCCCGGACACGCTGCTCTGCACACACACAATTTAACAATAATAATAATGGGCAAGGCCGCGACCCACTAAGGCAACCAAGTCATCCTCCGTTCCCTAGAAAAACCCTGAAAAAGAGTTATTCCCTCCGACCCCTGAGCCCCCCAGCAGCCAAAGCTGCAGCCACAGCAAGAGCCGGAGCCGGGGGAGCCGGGGGAGCCGCCGGGGGCCGCACCGACAGGGGCCAGGAGGGCAAAGCCAAGCGTTTGCAAGGCTGCTTGCAATCCGGACATCACAGAAATCAATCATGTACTTACACCACTACATGTGACGGGGTAATTTCTAGTGTGAGGAGCACATCTCGTCCTGCCAAGCACGCTCATTTTAGTGCAATGTCGGGGGTCACTCCACGCGTGCAAGTTGGGACGCGGCCGGCGGCGCCGCGCTGCTGGGGCCGCCGCTGCAGGCTCCGGGCCCGGGGCGCGCGCGATCAGAAACTCCGGCCGCGCAGCCCAGGCCGGACGGCGGGCCGGGAGCGGCCGCGCGCGCGCCACTGCAGCCACGGCCTCTTCCGGATCAGCATCTCCCCGCGCCGCGGGCGCCCAATGTCATGGGGCGCCGGCCTGGGCGGCGGGCGCGCCGCGGGGCCTCGGCTGCGGAGCTGCGGGCGGCGCGCAGGGCGCCGGAGAGGGGCGAGGCCGCCGCCGCGACGCGCCCGGCCCGCTCCAGAGGCGCGGCCGCGACGACGCTGAGCGCTGCAGTCCCGGGGACCGCTCGCGACCTCCTTTTTTCATTCACAAAAAAAGGAAAGGGGAAAAAAAAGAAAGAAAGGGAGGAAAAAGGGGGTGGAAATTGCGCTCCGGACGGCGGCCGTGGGAGGCCCCGCCCACCGCGGCGCGCGGTTGGTGGAAAGGGGCCTGGGGGGCGGAGAAAGGGCGGGGAGATGAGGGGATTGGGCGCCCTGGAGGCCCCGCCCCTCCTCGCCCCGCCCCGCCCGCTCTGGCCTCACCTCCCTCCCCTCCCCCGCCCGTGGGGACGCGGCGCAAAGGGTCGCGACCTGCCGCCCGGTGCCGGGAGTGTCCTTCTACCTGGCGGGGCGCACAGCCTCGCTGGACTCCCACGGGGTCGCCCCCTGTCCTCCAAGAGGCTGAGAAGAAACTATGAGAGGCATCATAATACGCCCTGGAAGGAAGGAATGCCAGTTGTGAAAGGGAACGCGACATTTTTACCTTGTCGCTTCAACCCAAGCCTCCACCACTCGCCCACGGGGAGGGAGACAGCATTTCTGTGCATGCCCTCTGCCGGGCTGCGAGTTTCCATGGCACTGGAGGGCCTCCCTCCCGCCCTCCCGGCTGCAGCCACAGCTTTGCCTCTTGACTGTCTACCACCTGTACCTGTTTCTCATGCAGACGCTCCCCTCCCCTTCTCCAGCGGCCCCCACTTCCCTTCCACCCCTCTGCTATTGTTGGCTGGGGTTCTCCAGTATCTTCTGTGCTATGGAAGAAATGAAGATACAAGCCCCTGAGGCGGCACCTGCGGGCTCTACTGCTCTGTAAAATAGAGAGGGCAAAAGGGGGTCACTTCTGCGAGGTGAGCAGTCCTCAAATGAAGTCTCCATGTTCAAGCCCAGTTTGATTTTGATGCTCTTGACTGCTAGTCATCACAACAGTCATAGTTCAGTCTGGTTTTGCACATTTGTCAATTACCTCTGGATGATTTTTAAAGCACAGCATGTCTCCCACCTACATCACACTAGTTTGTTTCAGAAGAGTTCCTGACCTCTTTCTTTCCATGCCCCCTCCTTTCTTCTGTTACACACACACCCTCTGCCCACTTCTTTGGAGAGCCTCAGAACTTCTGACTAGCCCTGGTGAGGGGTGGGCAATGCCTGACTACAGCCTGAGGGGCTCCTAGCAGTTTAGAGGCAGGTTCCACTCCAGTCTCCCACCCCTTCCAACACCCCTTCCCTCTCCACAGTCCCCTGGTAACTCCTCCTTCCCAGTGACATAACATCCTTAAACTTGTCTGCAATGGTGTCCCCTCCATCTAGCCCCATAAACACCCTCCCAAGGATACTACATGCTGTTGTTTTCCTGAAGCCTACAGTCAGGAGGCCTGGTCTGGGGACAGAACTCTCCATCCTGGTTCTAGGAAGCTGCCTGCGCAGCAGGCTCACAGCCAGTGCCAGCAAGCCCTCCTCTCCCTGTGGCTTGCAAGCTCCTCCCCAGTACCAACCCAACCTACACAGACCCTTCCCCCCACAGGTCTTGTGACATGAGCTCCACCCTCTGCTCCCCAGCAGTGCAGAATCTGGGGCACATAGCATTGCCTTCCTGAACTTAGGGCAAAGTTCAGAGCCAGCTGAGAGCAAAAGCAGGACTACTTCAATATGCAGAAACCTGGCAGGAGTCAAATCTAGAAATCCTAGAGTCTCTCAGCCTCCTTGTCCAGGGTTCATGGGGCACCACTAGTTCCCCACAAGGAGACAGGCCCCTTCTGAGCCTTTGCTCAAGCACTGAACAGTCTTCCTCTCCTCATCCTGGCTAATGCAAGCCTCAGCTTTGATTCCACTTTCTCCAGGGAGCCTTCCATGATTTCTCCTCTTCCCTGCATTCCCTTAATAATTCCAATGCTACTGCTCTCTCTCCCTCACTACTGAGAACATTTGCAGGAAGGAATTATGCTTATTCAAGAGTGTCCTTCCTGCTGTCCAGTGCCGGGCAACAAGTACTCAGTAGGTGCTTAGTAAGTGTCTGGTGGATGAATGAATGTATGAAGAGGAGAGCTTGGGAGGGGGGGGGAGTTGATCCCACACAGTGGCTACTCACATGCTGGCCAGTGAGGGCTTCCATAGGCTGTACCTGCCTGTCCTTCTGGCTGCTATCATTCTGTGCTCTCTCCAGGCTCCTGGCTGGGCTGCATGGAAGTGGATGGGGCAGGCAAAGAAGAAAGTGGGAGAAATAATGAGGCACTGTGAGTTACCCAAAGCACCACTATGAGGTCGGTCAGCCCAAAGGGAGGGTCCTATTCAGGGCAAAATCATGGCTTCTGTGGCCCAGGCCCAGAGGGCTGTGACACCCAGTCTAGGGGCCAAGACAGAGGCCATCCTAGAGAGTCAGAAAGCTAATGGAGACACAAGAACTGGGGTCATGGTCCTTTTCATGCTGTGGGCATTTGCACATTAAACTAGCTTGGCATCTGGAAGAGCAGCCTGTGGTCCACCAGGAAGCCTGGTTTCCATCCTCATGCAGCTATGTAACCTTGGACAAAGAGAGGGTTCTCCAGTGTAGATGTCAGCTTTCTTGTGTACAGGGGCTGGGTTAAGTGACCCAAGGTTCATTCCAGCACTGATAACTGATACAGTTTCCTAACATGAAGTTCTGTATTTTATTGGCCACCCTTTCCATTGGAACAGCAACTGACACATATTGAGATTCAGCAATAGATCAGCTGATGGCCTCCAAGACTGAGGATGGAAGAAGGAAGTCTTTGGGGAGAGGGGGAAGGAGGAAGGGTAAGCCATAGAGAGAGACTCTAATTCTGGAATCATCCCCACTTTCAACTTCCTTCAAAGGTCAATCACAATCTTGGGATCTGTTGAACCAAAGAATGTTCTAAAATTTCAGGATTTGGGCCTCCCTGGTGGCGCAAGGGGTTAAGCACCACACTATGAAGCAATTTGCAGCCTCTGCAACATGAGTTCAATCCCCAGCCAGCCAGGGAGCAACCCACATGGTGCAGCAGACCTCTCCTGTCTCGCCCGCTGCTCCCCTCAGCAGTGTATTTCAGTCAGTCTGCCTGTTCTGCTCCCCACTTTGTCTCTGGTGAATCCTCTCACCCCCAGCATCGCTGGCCTATACCCAGCTCTTGTACACAGAAATAAATCTTTAAATAAAATAAAATAAAATTTCAGGATTTAAGGGATGATCAAGAAAGGGCTTAGAGAAGCCAGTAGGACACCCCTGGAAGCAGCTGGCATTTTGTCATCATTAAAGGGTAGGTAAGAATTATATAAAATAAAATATTTAAATAAAAAAATAAAAAAATAAAGGGTAGGTAGGACAGGGTTCCCAGGACAGGGTTGTGACTAAGCAGAAGAAAGCCAGAGAAGAAGCAGCCCCCCAAGTTTGGTGTGGGTGGGGGTGTGGCACCAGTGTGAACACAGAAACTGAAGTTTTTTCTACAATCTCAGTTCTAGTCTCCTTTCTACCAGGAACTGGCCGTGGGCTGTTGGCGTGGAACTTAGTCTCTCTGGTCCTCCGCTGAGGATAACACGATGACTACCTGATCTTACAATCCTTCAAGGGCTGAGGCCAGGGATCATGTGCTCCTTCTAACTCTTCCTGCACTTCTGCCTGCCCCTCTCACAGACCTATGCTCTGTACCTCTATGGAAGGGGGTGGGAAGGTTTCAGCTCCCATTTGTGCCTAAGCCCCATGGGCTACCTATGGTGAGCAGACAGCTGAGAGGCATGGGGGAAGGAGTAGAGCTCTGACCGCCTAACCCGCCAGTGTTGGAGGGCATGCCCACTTTGGCCCTGGTGCCCTGTGGGTCTTCTGGGAAAAGGAAGAAACCAGGTGAGGCCGTAAAAGAGACACGAGTGAAACTTCTGTTCAGGACCCTCAAAACTCACGGGGGCCTTCCCTCAGCAGCCTTCCCTCAGCCACACCTTGGAGCTGGCAGGGGGGCTGCTCAAAGCAAGAACTGGGAACTCCACCTCAGTCTGTTCTGGCCAGGCAGCAAGCAGCCCCCTTGGCCCACTTACATCCTGGCTCTCCCTATAGGAAGCCACAGCCAAGATTGAGGCCTCCATGAAACATTCACGGCAGCTCTGAAGCAGAGAAACTTGGGTGCTTGCTGCTTTAGGTCATCAGTTACAGGTACCATCACTAACTCCTTGGGGAAATGTGTGGTCCACCCCACATCCCCTGAGATGCTGTGCCTGGAAGCTACTACCGGGCAGGCCCATGGCAGAGAGAAGTTAGGTGTTGTTATCTCTGCCCTGCTTTATAGGCAGGAAAGCATACAAGAGGGCGGGCAGAAAAAGCAGCCCAGTCAGCACAGCCAGACCCAGGATCCTTCACTTTAACCACTCTGCAGCCCTCCGGAGAGAGGGCAGCCTGTTCCTGGAGCCCCGCAGAGCTGCAAGTGAGAAGCTCTGAGGAGGCTGATCACCCCAAAATAGACTTGTTTTTTTTCACAACTTTTTCATGAGGCATTGGCATCTCTTGCAGCAAGGAAAAAAAATAACCTGAACTGTTAACAAATAAAGATTATAAAAAGCCCCAACTGTTCCCCATGGGTTTCCATGTGGCTATGGTGTTCTTGGGGGGTGGAGGCTGGGGGAGGAAGAGGGCTGGAATAGAGAGCAGGGGAGGTGTGTGTCCAGGATCCCCCAACCTCTCCTCTGACCCACTTTTCTCCCAGATAGCTGATTCTGCTAGAGCTCACAGGGATAATA